TTTCTGCGGTTTTTATAAAGAGAATTTTATTATATCCTGCTTATTGTGCCAATGTATACAAAAGGTGTATCCTTACTGGACAATAAACCCAAAATTCTAAAATGTGTGGTATTTGGCTATGAAGAAACCTTATTTAGAAATCAGAATGTCTTATTTGTAAGCATAAATTGGTACTAGAAATGCATGCCGTCTTTAAAGGGTTACATATGTTCTTGCTCTATGTGTGGTAAAAATGTATTTAATTATGGTATCACATGTTTGCCTATGCTGTATGGAGCGCTGAGATATTCAGCAAAATATGGAAATGAGAGCCTGGGAATAAAATAGAGTTTTATCATGAGCTGTCAGATGTAGGATTCTGCCTCGTTTGCTGATCTTGGTAGAAAGTTTATAGGAAATGAAGGAGACTGCGGTCAGAAAGACTTCTGCTACATGTAAGTCAGTGATAATGAAATCATGCAGAACTGTATTAAAATGTTTCTTCTAAAGCTATTTTGGTAGTCAGTCTAGAAAATTGGGGGCAGAAATCCAGGCTTTTTCGTTTAGTCATGAAGGCCTTAAAAATGCAGTGGTGTGTTATCTTCTGCCATGATACACAGTTCAGCTTAGCCAGTGCCTCAGTATCCGTATACAGGTGGTTCTCGATTTACAACAGTTCGCTTAGTGACCGTTCAAAGTTACAACGGCACTGAAAAAAGTGACTTATGAAAATTTTTCACACTTAACGCCCATTGCAATCATCCCCATGGTCAGATGATTTATATTCAGATGTTTGACAACTGACTCATATCTATGACAGTTTCAATGTCCTGGAATCATGTGATCACTTTTTGCAACTTACTGCTAAGCAAAGTCAGTGGGGAAGTCGGATTCACTTAACAACAATGTTAAATTGTTGTAGTAACATTAGTACTACAACATTAGTAACATTAGTGTTACTAATTTAACAACTGCAGTGATTCACTTAACAAATGTGGCATAAGAAAAGTCGTAAAATGGGGCAAAAAGTCATTTAACAAATGTTTCATTTAGTAACAAATTTTGGGCTCAACTGCGGTCGTAAATTGAGGACTACTTATAGAGAGTTTTTTTTTTTTTCATCTGCTAACACTAGTTAATAAGCAAAGAAGGGATGGGAATCTTGTAATGTCATAGTAGAAAGTAGGTACTATTAGACATTAAAGAGAGAACCAGCCAGGCAGTTGATATTTCTGACAGTAGACTTTCTCTCACAAAGCCTGGTCATTCGGCTTGAAACATTAATTCTAATCTTAGTGATGATTTTAAACTTGGAAATGTTTCCTATCTACCAGAAGTTTAAAGTGGGATAATTCCACATTCAGTTCCATTAACTTTCTTGGAAGAAGGGCAGGCAATCTTGAGATTATTGAATAAATAAGCATCACAGAATGTGTATACAATATAGGATGCTTATATTTATTTCATGTTTTTTTCTGGATATTTTGACTTCCCTTAGGTTTGATTTTCTTGCAACATTGAATATTCCTAAATCTAGATGTTGAAATCGTATTGATTATCTATTATTGTCTATTAAATACTCTCAGCATTTTTTTCCACTACCCCCCCATAGTTTTCTACAATTTTAAAGTAAGTATCTCTGAAATGGGAGTGATAATATTTACGTCCAGTGATTCCGTTATAAAAGATTCTGAAAAAAATCCCAAGGTTCTCTGTACATCTAACAGATAGTGCTATTTCATGAAATGATGATGTGCTTTTACTGAGAGGTATTGTGCCATATTCTACTTTTCTACTCTTACTGATAAATGTAAAACGTGAATACATTTGAACAACAATGACCATTTCACGGGGGCTTCTGGTTTGGCTTCCGTCGCTGTTAGACGGTCTTTTGGGACCGCCAGCCCCGCCGCCCATAAAGAGCCGCCTTTACAGCTGAAAGGCGGCTCGAAAAACTCTGTTTCCTTAAGGAAATGTGAGATAGAGCCGGCGAGAGCAGGTAGAGCCCTCTGCGAAGTCCCCAGAGTTCTTTTTTTACTCTTGGGGAGGAAGCAGGATGAGGCTCCCTATTCAGCTCACCGCTGCTCCGGGCTTCGGGAGAACTCTGCGCTTTGCAGAGCCAGGCGATGGGACCAACCCAACTAACGAAAACTAACAGATTGTCTGAACAAGCAGGATGAAATCTGGATCTGGGACTCTAAATTGCAAGTATTTCTAACAACCCTATGACTGATTTTAAAAGTGAAGAAAGAGTGAAAGAGAAAAAAAAAATTTAAAATGGCGACTGGCTGAGGCTTGAGAAGAAAGCTGAAAGCGAAAGTCCTTCCGTTTGAATAGTTTTATACGTTACAAAGTATCTGAAACAATAGCGCTGGCTAGAAGTGAAGAGAAAAATTCTTATTTCATGCTTCTTTCTTAGAGACTTGATATTGATATTGTCTGGAGAGAAGTCTTTTTCTTTAAAAGGAAAAAAAAATCTGTTTGTGTGGCAGGATGGCGTTAAAACTGACAAAGCCAGACAACCAAGCTGTGGGGGGGGGGGCTCCCTCATTTACAAATCACATGAACAAGTTTTGAGCTTGCAGATGCAGAAGAATGGCTTTAAAGACCTAAAGGAATTTGTTTTGGAGGAGATGGCAAGACATGATGAGATTGTGAACCAGAACCTTGAAAAATTTAGACAAGAAATTAAAGAGTTGGTACAACAAAAATATGATAACCTGAAACGATATATTGTAACAGCTTTGAAAAGTTTTTCAGAAATAATTATAAAGATGGATAAAGATATCAACTTAGAAATAGAGTCTAAAATGAAGGAAGCTGATTATAAGATTCATAATTTGGATAATAAAATACAAAGAATTGAAAATGACTTGACAATGATTCAAGAAAATAGTAGAGTCTAAAATAAAGGAAGCTGATCACAAGACTTACAATGCAGATAATATAAAACAAAGGATTGAAAATGAAGTCACAATGATGCAATTTAGATCCATGGAATTTGCGGTCAGAATCGGGGGAATAAAAGGAAAATAACAGAGAAGACTTGAGAAAGATGTCTGCTGAAGTTCTGGCTGTGATTTTAAAGGTTAGTCCTGAAGAGGTATCCTGTAAGATTGATAAGGCCTACAGAGCAAATTCTTGGGTGGCAAAGCAAAGGCAGTTGCCTAGAGATGTGATTTACTTTACTGATAAAGGAATAAGAAACGATATTGTGCAAAAGTCTTTTAACTCCACTCTAGAAATGAATGGAAGGAAGATTTGGATATTTAAAGAGCTGCCGTCCAAGATGTTAAAAGATAGAAAGGACTTTGGATTTTTGGTGACTGAGCTAAAGAAACAAAACATCCCATTTAGGTGGGATGCTCCAGTTGGTATAATATTGAGATATCAAGGAGAAAGATATCAACTAAATACTGTTGAAAAAGCGGAAGAATTTTACTACAAGGTTTTTTAAATGGACCTAACATCTCTACGTATGTCATCAGTGTTAGGAACACAGGAGGGGGATAAAGAAAAGCAAAATGAACAAGAGATTGAAACTCAGGCTAAGCAGATGGAGATGGAGGTAATGGAAAAACAACAAGTTATAGAGGCCTTTTTGGATGAGCTGCTTCTGGATTCTCCTCCAGAGGCTATAGCTGGATCACCTATAAATATAAGAGAAGCGGCTTTGGATTTCGATTTGATGTCTTATCAAGTTACAGACCAGCATGTAATTCAATCAGCTGATATACAAGTCCAAGAAAGGCAACCAGGATGGAGATCTAAATCACAACACATTAAGAAAAGAAGAAGCAGGTTCTACAAAACTAAAAAATTTTAAACTAAACAAAAAAACTTTTTTTTCTTTTTCTTTAGCCAACAGACTAATGCCAGTTACTTAAGAGACGATTAAATATAATAAGCGGGATTTATAGAAGGCTGATACATGAAAATATAACTGAGGCAAATTACAGACTTATACTATTTTGAGAAGGATAACAGATCTCTGCAGTGCTGGTGTTTTTGGGATGTGGAAGATGGCCTTTGATTGAGCGGATTGGAATTTTCTATTTTGGATTCTTTGGAAAATGGATTACGTATATATTGAGTTATAAGGCAAGAGAACTATGGAATTGGGGCATGCAGAAGATCTGGTTGTTACCCTAACGTGGTGGTTGGAATTAATAATCTAGACAAAAGACATTACAGAAGATACTATATAGAATATAAATATAAAGTCACTCGGGTGGTTTTTTATATACAGAAACATTATTGATGGGGGCAGATGGTAATTGAAGATACTGAATATACTGTTGGAAGCAGAACTTGATGTTACCCTAACACAGGCGATGGAATTAATAATCTAGTTGAAAGACATTACAGAAGATACTATATGGATTACAAACTTAAAGTCATTTGAGGATTTTATTTATATATGGAAATATTTTTTAGTTGTGTGGTGTGGGCAGAAGAACAAAGATATTAAAAATATTATGTATGGTAGACCTGTAGGAAAGTGGGTGGAGATAGGTTAGGTTACTGATTGTTTAGTTTAGGAAAAGGGATGTTATGTTCAGATATTAATATACGTAAAAGATTTGAATTAAGAGATATATGTATGGGGGTGGAGGAAATGGGTAGATTATGAGTTGAATAAACGCCAAATTAGGATTTATTATATAATTTTACAGCTGAATGTTGCTCTGAAATGTATAGTATAGGGGGGATATAATAATAATATTAGAAAGAAATGGTTAGCATATGGGGGGGTGTAAAAGGATGGTAAAGTATTATATAATGTGATATCAATTTGGATTTTATTTTGGAGAAGCCATGGGGGGAGGGGGGTTAGGGAGGAGGGGGGGGAAAAGGGGGAAAAATCTGTATTTGAAAACTTTTTCAATAAAAAAAACAAAAAAAACAATGACCATTTCACAATTGTGCTAATTGCTTCTTCACATAAGAGAAACAGTTTCTTGCCATAGAAATGAATAGAATTTGTTTTACCATTGGAATAACGTGCACCCAATTTTTAGATATAAAGGAAAATGATGAAGAACAAGATAGAAAGAAACAAATGAACAATTACCCATCAGAAAATGAATACTGGGATGCCTATGGGTATGACTGAAGGAATGATTTTAAACATCTTGCCACCTGTTCTTATAAAGGTATAATATAAAAGTTTGATATTTCAAACATATTTTCTCATGCACTAAGACTGCCAGATCTGCCTTCAGAAGTCTTGATTATTAATAGAAGGTAGCAATGACAGGTAGAAAATTCTACTGCTTTATTTTTATCAACAGACTTTTTATAACTCAAATCTTGTATCCTTATCATACATCTTAGCACATACCTGACAAAATTATCTAGATAAAACTTCAACCTTCAATAAAAATAGAAATTACGTTTGATATTAGTACAGTAATAGGCACTACATTCCTATAAATTTATATTGTATTGTACTGTACTATACTATACGATATATTATATTTATTATATTTTTAAAGTTTCATGGGACTTACTGCAAGTTAAGAGCCTTGATGGCGCAGCAGACTAAAGTGCTATTAAGTAACAGCAACTGCCTGCAATTACTGCAAGTTCAAATCTCACCAGGCTCAAGGTTGACTCAGCCTTCCATCCTTTCGAGGTAGGTAAAATGAGGACCCGGATTGTGGGGGCAATAAGCTGATTTTGTATAAAAAAAGAACACCGCTTGGGGGGGCCGAAAGCCCTACTAAGCAGGTATATACAAAAGTATGAAGGCTATTGCTTAACGCATTGTAAGCCGCCCTGAGTCTCCGGAGAAGGGCGGCATATAAATCGAACCAATAAATAAATAAATAAATAAATAAATAAATAAATAAATAAATAAATAGCTGTAGAATTAGAGAGCTATAATACTAAGCTAGAATAGACACATTTCATGAATGAATGAATGATTTATTCTGAAATAGTGGCATATAAGATTATCCTGTTGGTATTAAAAGGTAGAACAATATTTTTAACGTTGATTAGTTTACATATTCTTTTAGGTTAAAATTATTATTGCATTATTCAGAATTAACCTGATCATTCTTGCCACTGAAGTATATTCGTTAGGCTGTAAATAATAAATATTACAGAAAATACTACATGATAGTTAACTTCATATTTACAATCACAATATTATGAACTAATAATAATTCATTCTTTTCTTTTTTAGGTTTCTAATCCTACAACCCTTGAAAATCATGTTTATTGATGATATATTCTATGCCTTCATTTAAAAGTTTTAATTATTTCATCTTTCAAGCACAATTAAAAATGTAAACTTTAGCAATGGGTTGTCTGATTTATATTTTTGGGTGCATTTCTCCATAAAGGTTTGGTAAGAATGGGCATGTAAAATACTTGAACAAAACTGCATTGTACAGTGATTTTCACTATACAAGTTGTTGATGATTAATTCTTTTGTAACTTCCTGAGGAACTATCTTTCTATGTCTCCATAATCAGCAAGCCTGCTGTGTAATATAATTGCACTTGAAAGAGAATCACCACCTCATGAAATGAATAAACTTCATTATTAAATCTGATAGACTGAAGAAAAAACATTGAAATATCCAAACAGAATAGCATCTTTTCCTGTGCTTTGAGGATAAACACACCAATGTTTTAGGCATTTTGATGCAATTTATAACATCTGAATTTTTAGAAACTATAATTCTTATAGAAGAATAAATACATTTCACATCAGTTAAATTAATAAAACCAATCTTGAAAGGGGGCTAAGAAAACATTCACAGAATGTTAAGAAACAAAATACTCACAGATCTCATAAGGAAAGATAGGCTGTTAAATCTAATTCCAAAATTGTATTTGAAAAATAATTATACCCTGTCAATTCATATCAGCAAAAAACTATATAAATAATTATTGTATCTAGAATCATCTCTTTTCCTTCCTTCCTTCCTTCCTTCCTTCCTTCCTTCCTTCCTTCCTTCCTTCCTTCCTTCCTTCCTTCCTTCCAGATCTTAATCACAGTTTTTTTTCCAGTGATAGCTGTTGGTATTTTTCTTTCTACTGCATTTTAGCATATTACATTGTTTTTTGAACCCAAAGCCATTCTCTCATAAATTACAAATACTTATAAAACCAGCCAAATCCAATTAAGCCATCTTAAGTTAGAGACATAGACAGCTTTTGGAGCTATTCATTGTTATAATATTTTTGAAAACATTTCTATCTACTCTTATCCTTATTAAATAAATATTAATTCATTTTTATTCTATTTGCATCCTGCCTTTATTATTTTTACAAGTAACTCAAGAGTGTGAGTTACTTGTAAAACACACTTTCCTCTGCCCGTTTTTCCCAGTTTATAGATATAGAATTTAAACCACAGTTGAATCTACTTTTTCATGGATATTATGACTATGGGAGGAACAATTATTACTGCCAAAGCCAAGAAATTTAAGGGAGGAGTATGAGGAGGATCTCATGTTCTTTCTGTACCCCTATGACGGTTTGAGGAAAAACACTTTTTACATATACTTTGTACTGCCCATGTAGGCTTATTTGACCATTTACTCCAACAAAATTAAAAAATTGTCTGAGAAATTTGGAATAGTATAGAATGATTAATGACTGAACATCATCTTTTTTCAGAAATATCACACATGAAACCTTGTCAAGTTGCTTTATTTAACCTATGTCTATACTCTTTTTCTAGTGGGTTTTTTTTTTTGTGTGCCATCCCTAAATATATTTGTGTTTGAAGGCTGCAAATTTCTCATGGTATATGAGGCCCAAAAACAAGACTAAGTCCCAAAAACCTGAGCACGTGTGGAGGGAGTGGCTTTTTTGATAACCAAGATGAAAAGATTGGACATGTTGAAGTTATCATATTGGATGGAAAAACGGATGGGTGGGTGGATGGATTAGGTTTATATCCTATCTTTCAAGACTTCAAGGTGGCACACATGGGACTACTTCCTCCTAGGTTGATCTGTAATAACAGTCCTGTGATTTGCACTCTGCTGAGGGAGTGACTGACCCAAATTAGTAAATTTCTGTAAGCGTCTTTGTCTGGGGCAGGCTTGAACCTGAATGTCTGTCATGTAATCTCTGTTCTTCACAGGAATTCCAATTATAGCAGTGCTTTAAAGCTGGCTAGTGAATGAAAAACACTGAATTGAAGCATTCCAGTCCTTCCACTCAGTGATTGTGTGTTCTTCCTTTAAAGAAATTTGATGAAAAGAAACAGCTACCTATTTGTGTAAATGTTTCTACTAGAGACAGAAATTAGGCATAGAGCTGTTTATGAACAGGGGAAGAAATTCTGAGTTAAAACTACAATGGTGAAAAATAATAAAAGACTTGAAATTTTCTGCTCCATAAATATCCCATAAACCTTTATAGCTCTCCTTTCATGTATCATCTTTCATTGATCTGTCAGCTTTTCCAGTTGCATCAAAATTTCTATTTCCTTATCAGGTATTGCATATGGCAACCTGTGAAAAGATTAAGGATGGAATCATACAGATATATATTACAAAGTACAGGATAGCTTCTGCCATGCTGTGTTGATATCCCTTATTCCCCCTGACTGTTGAAAATATATTTAGCAATAAGCGAGCAATCTTTGGTCTAGCCTGATGCTTTTTTGCTTTGCTGAGGTAACTGCTGACAGATCCAGAGAAACAGGACAAGGACATCTGGTTTCTGAGGAATGACGATCAAGATAGCTCCCAGTCATTTCTGAAATGGATTTTTGAAATTATGGTTCACCGGCAAATTAAAGCATTTTGAAATATTGATATGTGTAAAACTGAGCTGTAATGAAAGGTCAATGTGCTTTCTTTCAAAGAAGAAGATAGAATATATGTGAATGAGAGACAGGCTGATCTAATTTTTTTTCTAACTTTGCTGATGACCTGTTAACGTATTTGGGAATTTCTAATGTTCTGCCAATCTGCCACTGTTTTTCAGCAGCCCAACCTTTTGAAGCATTGTTATACCTGTCAAAAATAACAGTAAGAATAACCTTAGGAAGATCACTAATCAATAAAGAGATATTTCTTTCAGATCCCTTATCATTCACATCAATGTCACCGCCCTTTTCTTTTAAATGCATTATCCTTTTTTAAAAATCTCTCATACCTTTTCTAACAGAACTAATACTGTCTTTTAGACTTTAAAGTGGATTATTTAGTGTACACTGCCTTTGATCAAAATAAATTTCTGGCACCAATTGTTGAATTACAAGCCTTGTAGAAGGAGAGCCATGTTAGTCTTATGGTAGCCAAAATCAGGAATCTGGTAGAACCTTTTCAGACTCAAACATTTTATCAAAAGATTTAAGCATTCATGACTGCAGCTCACTTTATCAGATGCAAGCTGAAAAATGCAAGATGAAGTTAATAATAGAGTTGAAAGTTCAATCTTTCAATCAATCAATCAGAATAGAGCTGGAAGGGACTTTGGAGGTCTTCTAGTCCAACCCCCTGTTCAAGCAGGAGACCCTTTGCCATTTCAGATAAGTGGCTGTCTAATCTCTTCTTAAAAACTTCCAATGATGAAGCGTCCACAACTCCTGAAGGCAAGCTGTTCCACTGGTTAAGTGGAACACTGTAAGGAAGTTTCTCTTCAATTCCAGGTTGCTTCTGTCCTTGATTAGTTTCCATCCATTATTTCTCGTCTTGCCTTCTGGTGCTTTGGAAAATAAGTTGACCCCTTCCTCTTTGTGGTAGCCCTTCAAATACTGCTATCCTGTCACCCACTAGTGCTTCTTTTCTCTAGACTAGCCTGGACTATTTGGTCTGATGAAGTAAATTGCAAATCATGACCCTTATGCCTTTTTATAAAATGTGTTAATTTGAAAAGGTGCTACCAGGCTGTTGGTTTTTGTGCTACAAGCAGCAACCCCAGGTCTCTTTCTCTAGCAATAGGAGGCCATCTTTTCTGCCATAGGCATTCAGTGCCCATGGGTTGAAGACTCTGCATTAATACATGCTTACACTGAATGTACTCCTGTACCATACAGCTCCAAGCAGCTGCTAGCATTCCAGAGGCCTGAGAGATGCACTAAGCACTGTATTAGGAACGGTGTGGGCAAGATAAGAAAGACTGGTTGGCAGTTTCACAGGCTGCAAAAACATACATTAAAATTTCCTTGCAATCTCCCATTCGGAGGTTGATGCTCTATCTCAGGAATTCAAAATGTGTTTTCCTTGATCCTTTTAGCAGCCCTCCCCCAGGCTGTCTCAGAAAGATTGGGGGGGGGGAAGCAAATTCCAAAGTTTGGGCCCTCCTTTAGTGACAAATTAAATGCCTTAGCTTTTTTTCTCATGTATTCTGAATGGTACTTTCCCAGTGAGTATTCATGTTCTTGATTTAGCGAGTCCATTTTGTGTTGTGATTCTTGAAGAGAAAGATTGAAATGGTGTTTTTTTTTTTTTTTTTTTTTTGCAACTTCTGGAACTTCCCTTGAGAAGATGTGATAAAACAGAGCATTGCTCATATCTATTGTGTAAGTCCTACATTCAGATAATATTAGTGAGGGGGAAAATAAACATATGAGTCACCAATTACCCAGTAGGAATACTCTTGTGATAGTAGAAGACGCAGGATCTATTTTTTTTTTTTATTGCACCTCCAGCAAATGGTCAATTAGTCTTGATGATAAAACTGCTAAAGTGTAAGGCATAACGATTCTTGCTCAATGAGGTGTGTGTCTTTCACTCCTGTCCAGTTCAAACACTGGCTGCTGGGTGACTGATAACACTGTCAGTTTGTGATTAAAACCAGTTACATCATCACATACTTCATGACAAGTCATCTAGCTCCCTTCCAGACAAAACAAACATTTTGGATAAGCCTAAACCAAAATGTTATCTACAGAGAAAAGAAATAAACAGGAGGATATTGCTAAAAATAAAATGTTACAAATTTGGGAGAATACAGACTTGCTTGGTGAGTGGTTTCTGGGTTTTGCCAAATGTGCTAAGAATTTACTTGCTCAGTGATAGGGAAATTTCAAAAACTAACCCTTTTTTTTTTAAAGGATGGTGTCAGGTGAAATAATACACCAGAAAAACAATCCTCCCTTGAGAAATACAGAAATGATGCATTTTATGTACATAAAACATGAAGCATTATTTCTACGGAAGGATAATTTTTAGGGTGGAGATCTTCTGAGTTGCATTCAGAAGGGAAACAAGTCTAGGTACATCAACAAATGTATGCTTTAGTTTGGAGACAGATTATTAATTATACAGCATTCACAAATAGAAATGACATTAGTGCATGTCTTAAAGTTGCCAAGGTTGGAGACCCCTGCACGGGTATTTCGCTGCGCACTTAAGACCCTATTGTTCCGCCAGGCTGGGTTAGCAATATAATTTTAAATTGGATGTTTTAAATTTTTGGGGTTTTAAATTAAGCCAAATTTATTTAATATTTTTAAATTATTTTAAATCGATGTTTATTCTGTTTTTTAATTAGGCTGTACACCGCCCTGAGTCCTTCGGGAGAAGGGCGGTATAGAAATAAAATTATTATTATTATTATTATTATTATTATTATTATTATTATTAGTGGATCTGTCTTAACTGAGTTTTCTCTTTCTTCTAGCCAGATAGCTCAGCTTTTCTCTCCGTTGATTTTTTTTTTTTAATCAAAGTTTGGTGTTAATTCATTTCTAGTTTTCAAGGAACTGTTCTGCTTTTAATTATGATTTTGCCATTGGAGTTTGCAGAGGAAAAATTAGCCTACTGACAGATAGTGTAACCCACTAGAATATACAAGGCCAAATATATGCTCTCTCCTGCTGATCAAATGTTCTTTTACTTACTTTGAGGCAGATTTTATAGACTTATATACACATCTTGGAATTACAGGCACACAAACAGATACATTTTGAGAATATTTTCTACAAAGCATCTGGGAGGACAAAAGTGTTTCCCGCCCCCCCCCTCCAAAGAATGACAGCTATAAGAAAGCTTCTTTAGTGTGATAATTGAGCCATTGACATGATATTAACCCTGAAAGGTCAGGATTTTGCTGATAAAGAAATATGCAAAGATTACCCTGCATATCTCACTGATTTCAATAAGACAGTGAAGAACAGTCTTTAAACTCTTCCACTAAAATCATTGACCTGTCATTAAAGTGTGCTCAGCTTTCACTGGACCCTTTATTTGTTATCTATAATGGAACACCTGGGATCAAAACAGAAGTTTTCGGTAACTCCCAAGAACACCCTTGAAGAATTGTCTCGTGCGAAATGCCTGTTAAAGTCAGACCTGCCAAATGCATTTGCCACCCTGATGTATGAAATAGCAGCAGGCTTTGCACCCATAGCTAAAATATTTCACTTTGATTGTGAATTATTGGGATTAAGGTCATCAATTGCAAATATAAATAATCTCTAAGAAAAGTGACTCACCTGCATTGCACCAGTATTGTATCACTGGTTTTCTTTGATGTAGATCAGTGTTTCCTAAACTGGGCAATTTTGTGATACGTAAACTTCAGTTCTCAAAATGCCCCCAGCCAATATGACCATAGTTAAGAAGAATTTTTCTGGGAGTTGAAGTCCACACATCTAAGGCTACCTTCTCTGCTTCCCTTCCATGGACTAAATTCTTCCTCAACCAGATCTGGAGGCATCTGAACATTTCACTCCGAGTATGCATTCTGTTGAGGAATGAGATTCAGCTGGATATTTCCTATTGTGCTGGCCCAATAGGGAATTAAGAATTGATAATACGATCGGTACAAAAGTCAAATAATGTGTTTCACAAGATGAAATATTCTACAGCATTATTATTGTCTGAATAGATTATTCTAACCAGAGAAGTAAAACTGAAAAGCATTCTGTGTTAAATACATATAGGCACAATCTTGCTGAAGTTAAGCTCTGTTAAATTTTATTGATTTTTGCAGTGATAAAGTAAGTGAAGTTTAATTCACCGCTAAAATCTAAATGATATAAAAGTGCTGGATTTTTCCATGCACAAACATACAGATCCTCAGGTTTTAATTTTAATTTCATTGGGACTATTTGCTTTGGCTCTTAGAAGCAGTTAATTAGTCTATCGTACCCGACTACGGTGATTAAGACAGATAAAAAAAAAATGGTGTGAACATTTAAGTGAAACTAAATGTAAAATAAAAACCATCTTAACAAGTTTAAATTGTGAATAAGTCCAAATTGTCCAAAATCAACCTAGGTTCATTTTCACTTCTACTTATCTCAAAATGCTGAAAGTATCACGTCCCAATCAATGCTCACCTACAGCTGACAAACCAAAGACTCCAATCTTATCCTCTTAACCCCTTATCTTGTGGAAGTCAAAGAACCATCAGTCTCCTGCGACTTCCATGCTGAATACAAAGTAAACACAAACCTTCTGAAATTTCTCCTTGTTTAGAAATGACCAACTTCAACTATAGGTAGTCCTCAGTTTACAACCACAATTGAGCCCAAACTTTCTGTTGCTAAACAAGGCATTGGTTACGTGAATGTTGCCTACTTTTTTTGCCACTGTTGTTAAGCGAGTCACTGCAATTGTTAAGTGAATCAAGCGGTCATTCAGGAAATCTGGCTTTCTCCAGTGACTTACCTTGTGGGAAGCTAGCTGGAAATGAAGATCACATGATCCCAGGACAGTGCAACTCTCATAAATACCTGTCAGTTGCCAAGTGCCCAAATTTCGATCACATGACTATGGGGACGTTGCAATGGTTGTAAGTGTGAAAAATGGTCATAAGCCACTCTTTTCAGTGCCATTGTAACTTGAATGGTCACTAAATGCGTGGTTGTAAGTCAAGGACTACCTGTATTCTGTTTTCTCCATAGTAAAGAGGAGGTAAAAACGGGCATCTCAAGAACTGCATTCACTGAGAAGTGTCTGCCGCCTGGTGATTTTTCCAGGTTATGGTTCTCTTGATAATACATCTTGGGGGGGGGGGGGAATGTGCTTGACCTTAGAAAACATTTACCGGTAGAAGGTTACCAAGGAAAGACCAAACAGCTCTTACCAGTCTGAACTGCTAATTTAGAGAGAGCTCTTGATATTAGTCTGAAGACTCCAAGAAATGAGAGCAAGGACCAAAATTACCCTTCTCTGTATTAGAATATCTCAGTCCATTATGGGAACCTTCATTTTCATAGTGTTAGTGATGTAACAAAGGCACATGACATTGCAAGAGAGACGGTGCGAGATACTTAGTTGGTGATTCTTTTATTTTATATGCCTAGTTCAGGAAATGCTTCTTTGTTTTGCTGTCCAAGTCAAGGTTTTTTTCTCCCATACCTTATGGATCAATCAATTAATACAAATGTTGACCTTTTCGGGTAGGGATTGACTGATTAATCACTGGCAAAAGAGTTCCCTGGCAAAGGAGGAGCTTTTTTAAAAAGAAAGATCTGGTTTCTATTGTTTGAAGGAGCAAATTAAAAAGTCACATGAATACTTTCACATTATTCGGATTGACTGAGAAATGCCGTGATGACTAATGTTCCTTCTCATGCCATTCAGTCCCCTTGACTCCTAGAAATCAATTTCTGTCTTCATTTTCCCCATTCCCAGTGAGTTCATAAACCATAAGACACTGAGGCCATTTCCACAGCCATGATTTATAGAGTCTTATAGCGTCATCCGGCCATCGCTGTGGCGATATATCAGTAACGAAGACAGGATTTCTATTAACACAGCAATGGCTGGATGATGTTGTAAGATGCTATAAATCAGGAACGCAGAAAGGGCCTGAGGCCTTTTTTGCATGAATGTCTCCAAGCACTGCCCTGGCTTTCTGTAGTAGATAAAAAACACCACAGCTTGCTAGATGAGCTGTCTGTACGATCACCATCATAGAATCCGTCTCACTTTGTTTCTTTGATCCAGATCTGTAGGTAGATCCCACCAGGACCGACTATATACCAGCCTTCCCTCTGCAGATCGCTCCTCCTGTTTTTTGTGCAAGGTAAAAATATGTGCTGGCACATCCAATTCTTAGCTAAGAAAGTCCTTTGGAAAAGGTTGTGGCAGCGAGTGAGGAAACTATGCCTTTACAATCATCCTTTTGGCAGAAAGAAATTAAAAGCCTCTTCCCCTCCCCTTCTGCTTCTTGTAAATACATTATAAATCTTGGGTAATCAGAGTAACCAGGATTGGTGGGAGGAAAGGGCATAAGCCCTGTTTTACTCGTTTTACAGCTGATCTTTGCAAGGTGAAGAGGGAATGAAATAAGACCACCTTTCTGGAAGAATGGAAGCTTGTCTGGCTGCCCAGCGTGGAGAATTAAATCAGTGAAGGGTGGAAATGAAGCCCAGGGCTTGTAAAAAGCTGTACAGGAAGTTAAGAGTATTGCGAAAAGCTCCTTCTACATTTCTAACACAGGAACTGACTCCCAGGTATGGAAAAGCCTTTAGGGGGTATGTGATCTCTTGGCGCTTTTCTAATAGAGATCAGTTTGCTGGGAGGAATGGTTTTTTTTTTAAGTGTGCAACAAATGCAACAGAAAAGCCATAAAGAGAAGCTTGTGCATAATTTGGGACACTATGTTTAACATCTAAATTAACGAGGCACTCCAGATCATTGTAACCCATTTATATAGAGGCCTTTTTCTTCTAGAACAAGCTTGCTACAGATAAGAGATATTGTAGAATTATGCTCCATTGATCAAGGCTGTAACAGCAGATTTTGAAAACCTGACAATGCTTCCCCTTCTCTCCCTCTTAAACCAAAAAAAGTCAGGATGAATCAGTCTTGAGTTTCTTTCTCACACTTTTTTTGCCTTCCTAGACTGGGCTTATGTTTTACTAACAGTCTCTGCTAGATCCAAGGTCATCTCTGTGCTCCTTGACACCTATGAAACAATTCAAAGTAACTGCATCACTGATTAATTTAGCTTTATTGTTCTTATTGAGCTTTTGTTAGGATACACTTCAAGAAAAAAAAAATTCTGATTGTCAGTATCAGGATAAACCAAATCAATCTTCTATTTTCTTAAAAGACTTGATGACCTATAAATAATTTTTGGGATCCAATACCAACCTCTGGGGGTAGCACTTTCCTCAGGAGAATGGTCATTGCTGAAAGGCAGACGTCTCTTTTTCTTTTGCTGTAGAATACAAAGGGAAAGAACAAGCATCAGAGTGGCTTTGTAAATCCAAATCTTTTGGAACCTTTATCCACTGGGCTCCATGTCATGAAATTCATTTGCAACGCCAATGCATTCAGAGAACTGAAAGGACAGAAATTACGATTTCTCTTCCACTAGATTTCACCCTCAGTCATGTGATCCCAATCCAAGCTAACCCAAAATCTCTTTACTGAAAAGTAACGAGGCAGAGACTTCCAAAAAGTTGCTAAGGTGAAGCAATGATACACTTTATCATTACTTCACCTTATGATACAACTACATTCTCTCACATGGTCACCTTCTTTCTGTAGATGAACGAAAGGGCAGGCACATTGTGATAGATTTCCTCCTTCAGTTTTCTAGGAAGTCGATTTTCTTGGGCAAGCACGCACACTTCCAAACAATCATAATGAGCTGCACTTTCCCAAGTACAATTTTTGTTTTCTAAAACCTCATCCTGTGTAAATGTGAAATTCAAAAGCATTCTTGGGAGTAGGATTATTTTTTAGCGTACTCCTGTTTTCTATCTATTTCATTCTTAACCATAGGGATCTAAATAATAATAATAATAGTAATAATAGTAGTAATAATAAAAGAGAAGGTGAAGATCTTGTGGGAATACAGATGGATCGTCATTTGGAACACAACACGCCAGATATCACAGTTGTCGAAAACCGAAACGTACAATTTATTGACATCGCGGTACCAGGAGATACCAGAGTCGAAGAAAAAGAACTGGAAAAAAATGACGAACTATCGCGACCTGGCCATCGAAACTATGCGATTATGGATGAAGCATGTAACAATGATACTCATTGTCATCGGGGCACTTGGTACAATGTCCAAGAATTTTATAAGATATATCAACAAATTGCAGCTTCCTGCAATAACACCAGCGGAACTGCAAAAAACTGTGCTACTTGGAACATCGTACATCTTAAGAAAGTACTTGGTTGATACCTAGGACACTGGCAGCAACCCTTATCTACCATTATCACCAGTCAATGGTATTTGTGTTGCATTTTTGAATGTTCAGTTGACTGAGTTTCATGTTTAATGAATAAAGTATATAATAATAATAATAAAAAATTAGGCTGGACTTAGTGGATGCCAAGTAGGTATCGTAGGCTGCCAAGCTGGGGGGTCTGTTTTGTTTCAAAAATGTGATTCCCCAAAAAGTCTCTAAATTCCAGTTTTTCTTTTTGAGTTTGGCTGCAGACCAACAGTAATTTTGACCCTTGGGAGAAGAGGAGGCCTGAGATGATGATGATGAAGAAATTGTGCATAGGGCTTAGAAACTTGAAACCCTTTTGCAGGTTCCAGTGTCAGATTCACAAAGCTCATCTCTTTTAGCTGTCTTTCAGCATCTGACACTAAATTAATATTGGGTTTTACTGTTAACATATGACAATGATTTGTGTTTGTTGCAACTAATATTTTTCCTTATATTTCAGGCTTGAATTTGGAACAGAATTTATTTAGAAGAGCTAGTATCCATTTGAATGAAATAAACATTACCTGCTGCCAACAAGTCTTAATTTTTCTTGAGAGTGTTACTGAAATTTTTCCAACTCATTAAGTAGTTGTTCCTAACTATCATTGCTTTTGAACATGCACACTGCACATTTTATTTTCTGAATGCCTTCGTGATACTAATTAAGCCTCAAATGTTGCCATTATTGAGTTGGTAATGTGCCAACAATCACAAAACCCCTTAAGAAGCAACTTCTAAACATGTGCATTTTTTTAAAAAAAAGAAAACCATCAAACAAGGAAGCAGATAAAAGGCTGTGTCTGAAGTAAAAGTTGTATTAAGAGTGTTATTACAAAAACATCATTTTCACACTCTCTGTGTAGAAGGAAATTAAAATTCAGTAGTTTACTTGCAAAAGATGTGGCCCACGGTATGATATAACTGTTTGAAGGAGCTAGACTTCCCTCAGGGTAGGCCTTACTCTAAACTTAAGTTAGCAAACATTTAATGTATACATGCTAAATTTATACTGGATTGGCAATCCGCTACAGCAAATTTTGATATCACAAATCCTTATTTAAAATTTCATTGCCCTCATTACTTCTATGGCATGTTGGCCAGTTACCCTATTTGTGTTAAGGCACCAGGCTAGAAAGCAAAAGACTGTGAATTCAAGTCCTTAGCCATGAAAACCTGCTGGGTGACTCAGCCCAGTCTTCCTCACAGGATTGTTGTTGTGGGGAACATAGGAGTAGGAAGATATGTTGGAAATGTTTGCAGCCTTGGATTGTTTGTAAGAATAATAAATAAATAAGTAAATAAATAAATAAGTAAAAGTATTTTGAGTGGGTGGAAGAAGCAAGTATACTAAACTGCGATTGTTTACATTTTGTGGGTATAATTTCTCTCATTTACTCCAGGTTGGGAGCTGCTGGATCTACGGACATGACAGAGTGGCATCTTGCAATTTTACCTGTGAATCTGAAAGAAGGACCATAGTTTTTGGTAATCACAGTTACACCTTCACACTCTTACTCCATCCGGGTTAGGGAAAGCTCAGAGTCACTGGTCAGCATTGACAAAATAATCCATTACTTGCAAGAGTTCCTTGGGTTGCCATTGTGTGTCCATCTGCAGTTCCAAGTGCTGGTTGTTATCTTTAAATTTAAAATCCCTACATTTATTAGAGCCTGGATATCAAAGAGAGAACCTTTTCTAGATTCATTCTGCCTAGATAACCCAGGTCGGCCTACTTAAGAGTTAGGGAGAAAGCGCAGGAGAAGGAACCATTAACATGGGCCTCTGGAAGGTTTTTTGGACAGACAGTGAAATCCTATACTTGATATAATAATTTCAATGTCAGTGTATATCTTTATCTTACATATTTTTAATATTTGTAAGATGCCTAGAATCCATTAGGGTTGAGGCCAGGATAAATTTCACAAATAAATAAATATTGACATATTACTACATCTGGTGGCAGGGTTTATTTAGCTACTAAATTTTGTTATTTTATGAAGGA